TGTATATGCTTGAATATAAGTGTCGCATAATTAGCTAATGGAAAATGTTGAAAGTGAAAGAAAAAATTTATGAGCTGTAAAATTTATGCAACCACATAATTATTGTGACCTAAATAGTTTTCCAAAATAATTTCGCCAAGGAAAACTCGGCATATAACTAACAATATGTTAGCGGGAAAGTGTTAATATAAAAAAGTGTGACAAAAAAGTTTTTCGAATTCGTAAATATAACATTTGTCCGAACAACAGTGTTTGAAACACTAATATTTTTTAATAATTTTTCGAAAAAGAGTTTTCTAATATTATGCGTTTCGAAAATAACTAAATTCAAAACTTTTCTAAATAAATTTATAACTTGTGTAAAACTATAACTGTAAATCATAATCTCGCAAGGATCCAAAGCATATCTTGTGTATGTGTAAATTTTTATAGTTTGCCAGTGTTTAAGAAAAGTAAGTTTTGGCACTTAAAATTTAGTTACAAAATTATAATAGAAAAAGTAAATATGCTGTAAGCGAACATTTTTAGACGGTGCACCGCTTTTCTTAAAAAGACAGTAACTGCAATATTATTAAGAGCAAATAAGCTAAACAAAAAAAATTTTTTTAGATACTAAAAAAAAAATAATGATGATAATATAATAATAATAATAATAGACGGTGAAAATGGACCGCCTCGCACGGTGAACGGTGTGTGAGAGTGCCGTTGCTATCTCTACCGCCATTAGAGGGTGCTACCATAAAATTAAAGCCAAACTTTAAACGTATGATATATAATCTTAACATATGAAATGTATTTTTATACCCTAAACAGGGTATATTAAGTTTACCACGAAGTTTGTAACATGCAGAAGGAAACTTCGGGCAACTTAAAAGATATATACTTCTGATGTGTAAAAATGATGAGCTGAGTCGGTTTAGCCATGTTCTCTCAATTTTTGAGATAACGTTCTGAAATTTTATATACGTTCTTTACACTCCACGAAGCTGCGCTTTCGTCGGATTCGCCGATATCGTACTACGATAGCATATAGCTGCCATTCAAACTGACCGATCACAAATAAATCCAGAGAAAGATCTTTTTATACACTTTCATGCTATAAGAAATGCAACTATGAAGGGGATTGCAGCTTCGGTGCTGCCGTAGTTTACGTTTTTTCTTGTTTTTACTATAAAAATTGCCAATATAATAGGTATATTTAAGTAGGGGGTTATTCCTAATATCCACAGACATATTGACCTCATTCTTCAATCGCTTTGTATATATGTTAAGGTATATCTTTAGAAACTTATTTACATACATACATATGTACATCTGCTGCGTATCGCATCAATATTATCTACTTACATTTACATACTTGCGAAACAATACACTACATACCAAAACACTTACACACACATACACAATGCAAATTCAGCAAGCAAAAAATGCGATCAATTCGCTTATAACGTTTTCATTTAGTACAAACATATTGCCAACAGAGGAAGCTTAACTGATTGTGAAAGAGCTGGAAAATAACACACAAAAATATCAAAACAAAAACAACAGTTTGCAACAACAGTAAAAACTACAAGGCAACAAGGTACGCCTGCACAATAATCAGCAAAAACAACAACAACATGAAACTTTAAAAAACAACATCAAGGCGTGCAACGAAACTGTTAACCGTTTTAGTTTTCCAAGATTTTGTAATAATTTTTTGAGCGTTTCCATCTAAGCCACATGTACTTGTAATATGTGTTTAAACACACATATGCCTAAATGTATGAATGTGTGTACATAAGCATGCATAATTGTTATGCTTTTAGTGACGCTTGTGGGTGATATACACACATAACTATGTATGTGACTGTGTGTATATTCGCACTTCGTTGCGCGTGCAGCTCAAGCAACGCAGCCGTCTGTCTACATAGTCAAACACCTGCCTTAGTGCAAGAGCGCGTTAGTAGAAAAACGCTATAAATATGTACGAGTATTTGTATATGTGTGCATTCACACACACATGCGCATTCATTAATGCAGGAGGACTTGTACTATGTACGACAACGATTACATCTAACGAACCTTGAAATTATTTTGTTGTCATATTCGCGTAATTTCTTCGGCATCGAAGTTTCTCCGCAGCTTTAAAGGGTTACACAATTGCTGCTGCGAAATTTTAACATGTATTAAACAGTGTTATACACTTGAGTTGAACTGATAGTTTGAAGTTGCAGAAGAACGTTCGCGATACAGCTAATTGCCATAATTTTGCACTTTAGTGGGTATATCCACTTACAAGTCCGGAAAAAAGTGTTTTTTTTTTAAGAGAAAAATCGAAATTTTTTTCCAAATATTATTGCCTTGATAATTACTTAGTAAAAATATTTACGTAGGTCATCTAAAAATTTCACGTCCATTGGAACAACTGTTTTGGAAAAAAATTTATAACCGGCTCTGACAACAGCGTTTCGAGAAAAACGCATTCAAAGTTGTTCTTTTTGTTATACTTATAACGTATTCCTTCTGAAATGCCACATTGTCGGGACTGAAGTATCAATGAACATTACCTCATGATTCCGTTTCCATAAAACTACTTTCATCATATGTGCTATAAATATTTCCACAAAAAATAAATCCGTAATTGTTTAAATGCAGCTGTTTGTATTTAGTTAGTTCCTTCCCAAACGCTACCGAATTAGTTGACATTCTTCGTCGAGGACTGTCGTCTATTCGCCCGTGCATCGCTTTTTTTATACGGTTTTATTTGTTAAATTTTATTATGTATTGTTTCTATTATAACTATCTTAGATAATTCCATCGAATTACGACTTCTTTTCATCCTAAAAGTAAATTGAGCAACGCAAAACGTGAAACCCTCTATTTACTATAAGAAATTGTAGTTTTTTCTACAAAGATGCTAATCGTTGGCTTTTTGTGTACCGCAATAAAATGTAACTTATTGATGTGGTGTTTAAACACAGCAACGTCAATGCGCTTTGGCAGGGCAACAAGAAGTTCCGTAATAAAAATGTTTCTGACAGCTGAAACATATAAAAACCGTACTTATGCTTACAACTTCTGCGAAATTCGGAACATTTAAGTTTCACATATAAAGATTTCTATCAATTTGGTTGTCATAACTTTCATCGCCTTTCACCAGCCAGCACCAGCCATTTCATCACTCTCTGTGCTGTCATTTTCTACAGACTTTAATTTTTAAGTAAAAAGTAAATAACTTATATATGGCATAATTTATTTACTTTAATTGCTTTAATTGTTTCATAAAATCTTTTTTTTATGATTATATTATATATGATTGCTGAGCAGTTTTTATTAGCAATTTAATATGTATACACATATGTATATTAGGATGGAACAAAAAAAAAACCTTTTTTTTTTTTGCTTAGCCTGAGCGTAAAATCTATAGATTATAAAAAAAGAAAATTTTTGTACAAACAAAATTTTTTTTGAACATCTAGAGGTGGTCTCAGTTTTAAAGTAAATTTCGAGTAAAAATTTTTTTTTTGGACAAGAAAAAATTATTTTTGTTTAAACTCTTTACATTTATATAAAATTTACCGAATGTGACGGTTTTTGGTTCAAATTTTATTTTAACGCTTAAGGAAGGCATGTTGTCGTTTAAGACTTTTTTTTAAACTCCACTAATGAGCACAAACATTTTTTTTAAGTTGTTAACTTTGAATTGGCTAAAAAGAGGACTCTCCACAACTTCTAGAACACTTTTTTTTACGAAATAAAAATTTTAACTCGAAAATTTACTTTAAAACCGAGTGCGCCGCCTCTAGATGATAAAAATTTTTTTGTCTAAAAATTTTCCTTTTTATAATCTACAGATTTTATCCTCAGGCTAAGCAAAAAAAATTTTTTTTTCGCTCCAACCTAATGTACATACATATGTACACGTACATAATATATTATATATGTATATATCTTGCACAAATTTATTGACATGTTTGCTTTTTAATTTAATTCGTAACATGTACTTTTTTGTTATTTAGTAAACCTCTTTTTTACCAAGCTTTCAGGTACAAGAAGCCGCAATAGTTTTCTTCTTACTGGGATCTCGGGTGTGACGTTTTCAAAAATCGATTTTTTTTTGCATAAATCCAATCTAGAGCATACATAAAATATGCTGGTAAATTTTCCGAAATAGAATGTAGTTTGAAAGTTACGGCTGTAAGAAGGTAAGGTCTTTAGAGCGCGTGGCGGTGTTTTTTTAAACGTTTTTTTCTCGAAAATTAATTTTTTAAACTGGCGTTCACGATTTCTCAAAAACGGTTCCAGCGATTGCTTTAAAATTTTGATGATAGTTTTAGCACACATGTGGCTATCGCCCGAACTAGGATTTTTGAAAAATATTAAACCGTTTATTTTTCTTATAAAAAAGTAGTCGCAAAAAAACATGAAATTTTGGGTTTTAATGATTAGCAGTATTTAAAAAATTGAATTTACAAGATTTGTAAAAGATCTTCGTTCCGGTAATAGCCATCTTCCTGCAGTTTAACATGCAATTTTTTTTTTTTTTTGTAAATTAGATTATTTATTAAAAAAGTTAAAAATTTCAGTTAAAAGCTTAATAAATATATAGTAAAAATTTGGAGGCTCTGCGTGTTTTTATTTTACTATAAAAAATTCCGAGAAAGACGGCCGTCACACGTGATGACCCCCTTAAAAAAAATAATCATGAACTACCTTCATACCGCCAACGGATCCAGAACTTCCTCTGCTGGTGACTTTTTTAAGGAGATTTACAGCGAATATGACTAAAAATGTAGGCACTGCTTTGAACTAACAACTCCCTAACAGAAACCTATAATGTATACCAAAATTACAGCACCGTCATGTATTAGTTTTTTGTAGGAAGTGTAAAGTAAAAAGGCGGCTAAAAACATAGTTTTTTGACGTAAACTCCATAAAATCGTTCCTTTAGTAATCACTTTCTATAATCATTTATTCTGTTTTTTGAACTACAGCATGTGACCATTTGAACTGTTCAGCAGCAACTCCAACGCCATGAAACGCAGACGTGGCATAAGGCTACCGTGGGCCGTTGTTGCACCGCCGCAAATAAAATATCTTAATTATAATTATACAACATATCAAAGTTTTAGCGTTAATCTAGTCCTCCTGTTGCAACGCATGCTGTTATTATGGCTGATCATGGCCGCAGTGGTGCTGGTGAGCGTACAGGCCGACGGTTGTCCGCCCTCTGAGGCCATACTGCCATGCCGTTGTTCGCTGCGCGGCAAAGAAATTCAAATATGGTAAAGCACAAAGAAAAAACAATATAAATTTCCATTCTGATTTTTTTTTTAATCGCTTAGGTGCTCACATAGCAATTTGCCGCAAATAATGGACGGCATTAAGGCGGTTGAACGCAACATTAAAAGTCCAATCGATGAGCTGGTGCTGGAAAATAACCAACTGCCAGCACTACCCGGTCGCTTCTTTGGCACCTTACAGATAGTGAGATTAATGCTACGCTATAATAGCATTGAACGCGTCTCTAACGGTTGGCTGAATGAGCTGGAAAACCATTTGGTGGAAGTGTACATTGTGGAACCACAATTGCGTAGTGTACCGGTAGAGAGTTTGAATGGCATGATCAATATGATCGCGATCACCATACAATCCGATGCACTAAAACATTTGCCAGACTTTTCGGGCCTACTTAGTCTCACCTATTTGAGCGTGCAGAGTAAGTCGTTGACCGAATTGCAGTCGCATTGGTTTCGTCATTTACCGAAGCTACAAAATGTGCATATAAATGGTGGTCCGCATTTGATACGTCTTGAAGCTACTACGTTCGATGGTTTGATATCGCTTAAAAATATTGATCTTAGTCGCAACGCAATCAACTGGATACATTTGCGCGCGCTCAGGCGTTTGCCAAACCTCGTTAGCCTAAAGATGTCCTACAACGAAATTAGCGATGTGGGTATGGTGGGAAGAATTGTAAAGGATTTAGAAAATTTAAAGAAATTGCGTTTGGATCATAATATTATTAATATTGTGGAGGACGGTTCATTCGTAGATCTGCCGCACCTATCAGAGTTGCATTTGAATGACAATCGTATCACCGAGCTAGAATATGGTGCCTTCCTCCGCACACCTATGCTAAAAACAATATATCTGCATAATAATCACATACGTCGCATACACCCTGAATCATTCCTTCAAGCTTCCGGCAGCGGTGTAGAGACGATTTACGCGTACAACAACGAAATCGAGCGTGTCAGCGAGCTTCGTTCCTTGCTCGACGCTCTGCCATCGCTCAAATTTCTCGACATGAGCAACAACTATCTCACTGACATACCATTTGGTGCATTGCGCGGTCACGGCACACTCGAACAACTTCATCTGAATAACAATTTGCTGCGTACACTGGAACATGATGCGCTAATGGCAATGCCAGCCTTGCGAGAGCTACGCATGCGCAATAACAGTTTATCCAACGAACTGCCAATGCCTTTTTGGAACTTACCCGGACTTAAGGGGCTTGATTTGGCAGCAAACAACTTTCGAACTATCGATTCACTTCTATTAGGTGGCTTGCCATCGCTGCGACGACTTGATCTAAGTGAAAATGGTTTAGTAAAGTTGGATCCCAAAACCTTCATACATAATCCTATGCTGGAAACTTTAAATATTTCCTATAATGAACTCTCTGCCATACATCCGGCGACATTTCGCAATTTGAATCGTCTCTTTGAGGTGGATGCAAGTTATAATCTACTGTCAGACATTATTCCCGGTCTGCCGAAGATAGTCGAACGCGTTTCAATGCGTGGAAATGCCATTGCCACACTACCTTTCTCCATCGGAAAATCACTAAGTTTGCCTAACTTACGTATGCTCGATTTAAGCGTGAATCGCTTGGAACAGCTACCAAAGTACAGTTTCCAGGGAATGCCACAGCTGCGCGTGCTCAGTTTGGCTAATAATCGACTGCGCACATTGGACGACACCGCTTTCATGGGTGCTACACGCTTGGAACTTTTACATCTGCAAGATAACGGCTTGTCACACATCGATGAGCGTACGTTTCTGCCGCTAGCCGAATTGCGTAATCTCAACTTACAAGGCAACAAGCTGGAAAGCGTTACCGACAATTTATTTTCAAACAATTCACGCTTGGAACAACTTGATTTGTCTAGAAACATAATACGCACTATAGCACCCTCAGCATTTGAGGCTCAGCGTTCGCTAGAGTATCTGGATTTGTCCAGCAATGCGTTAACTGATATGTCGGTTAGCCTATCCAGTCTCGTTAATTTGCATGACATAGACCTGAGTTATAACCAGATTACACGCGTGCATGCAGATGTCGTGTCTTTATGGCGTAATGTCGTTGAAATACGACTCGCCAATAACCTTATTGTCGAGTTGAAACATGGCACATTTCGCAACCTGCCAAAACTGCAGTATTTGGATTTGTCCAGCAATGAAATTAGCTCGGTAGAGCCGGGTGCGTTAAAACACCTGCCAGATCTTCAAGAATTTGTTTTAGCGGACAACAAATTGGTGGAACTGAAGGATCACGTCTTCGAAGATCTACCGAACTTGCTGGCTTCACATTTCCAATACAATACATTACGTTACATATCACCAGATAGTTTCTTTAACTCGCCCTCCATGGTCTTCTTAAATTTGTCTAACAATAACTTTCATAACATGGAAAATATTGGACTGCGTGCAATGCGCAACCTGGAGGTCTTAGATTTGTCTACAAATGGTGTGCGTATGGTCAATACCATGCCATTGAAATCGTTAAACTGGTTAGTCGAGCTTAAAATGGACAACAATCGTATTTGCAAGATTCAAGTGAGTACAAATTAGCTGACTGCTGTGAGTATGACTCGGCTCGAAAAAGTTGGAGTTACTGCAAATGTATTTTAATTAAAAATCTGATTCATTTCTTTTTTTCTTATTAAGGGCGGCCCATTCGAAACCATGCCTCGTCTACGGGTGCTTTCAATGCGTAACAACCAACTGCGCACCATCAAAGAGCGCACCTTCCGAAATTTACGCGGCAATATTGCCATACTTGATGTAGATGGTATGTGTATATCAATTTCTCGACATTTTAGAAAAAAAATTATTTTTATTGCAAAATTCCAGGCAACCCCATAAATTGCTCTTGTGAAATGCAGTGGCTCTCTGTGTGGCTACAGGAGACAAATTTTCCATATCCTGGTCCGAAATGTCAAGATGGTCGACTGCTACGTGCCTCACGTATGGATCGCAGCCTCTGTGCCGGTTTCGAAGATAGCAATCAACGCCGTGGTTCGGGAAGCGATAACAGTTTCAGCAGCGACAACGCTAACCATTTGCCGCTCTTAAATGAACACGGTGATATTTTCCAACGCGATTTGCAAGAGGAATTCAGCGACGAATGTGAGGAGTATGATATTTCGCCCGGAGAGCGACCTTTGGCTGGTGAGAGTGAATACTTTTACGATCAGTATGTCGACTATACTCCATCGAACGAGACGAACTCATATGTTAGTACAGACGCGCCGATTTCGCACACAAATATAGCAAGTAATTCAGTGCTAAGTACGCAGAAGAAACCGCCAATTAGTGCAAACATTGATCTGAACAACACCATACTGAATACCAACTACTTCAAAAGGCAGCCTCAGCCGGCGGGCGCGCAAACCAGTTCGCCCTTTACATTCTTTGGCTATCCCATACCGTCGCTGAGTTTGGGACGCTTCTTCGGCGCTGGTCAGCGTGGGCGTAAAGACCGTGGTGAAAAGACTAGCACTACGTCAACTATGCAAAGCACAGCGAGCACCACGGAAAGTGGCTTGACCCCATTATCAGCCACACATCGCATGCATACGCCACACGGCAAGGTGCGTATGTATCAACCGAACAGCGCCGAATTCGAGAAGTATCTAAATCCGCCAGACTCGCAGTATCCGGACGTGTCGGCCAGAAATCGGCACACAACTACAATAGCCGCCAGCACTGATTCCAGCTCTGACGAGACAACAAGTAGTGAAACACCAATCAGCGTCTTTAAAACCGCTTTCCGTGAGCCAACGAGTGTAGAACGTGGTGGCTTTCGTCCAATAATGCCGGAGCATGTGGGAGGATTTATGCCAGTGCACGATCCCTCAAAGCGGCGCGGCGTAGTGGAACCCATACCAACGCCAACAAAATATACGACGAAGCATACGGAACGTGATTACATTCCAATGATACCGGTACACGAAGACAATAACCATGGACCATCCAACAGGTTCAGCAATTTAAGACCCACAACTGCACCCTTGCCCACCACGGCCTTAACCACTGCAGAGTCCGCCAGTGAAGAGTTTGAGACGCAAACCTACTACGTAACCGAAAATCCTACAGAGCTCACCACGCCAGCGCGCCGTATAGCGCCACCATACATGGCAACAACTACACCAACAACCGCAATAACTATAACAGACCCAACAACAACACCTACTAGCACACGCTATTTACCACGCACTATAGCGACCATAGCCACAACACCTACACCTTTGCGCACGACAACCATACCAACGAGCATAACAACAACAACTTCTAAAACGCGTGCAACGACTGCAACCCAAGCGCCTACATATAATATGGACAATAGTGACACTTTTGACACCGGCGAGATTTACGACGACTTGGAGGCACAATCTGTCGGCATGCTTAAGCCGCCACCACTTTTACAAACCACCACAGCGGAGACTATATTACTAATACCACCGCCGGAGGAGCATGTCGAGCAGATTAAACGTCACTCTTGGGTAATGAAAACGACATCTACAACGCAGGACACTCCAACTAACAGTTACATCGATGCAGCCGGAAGCGGCAGTGACAGCCTGGCAAGCGCCGAACCCCCCACCACTCCACTAACTGTTGCTAATGTTTCTCCGCGACAACCACGCCCATCTGGTGGACGATCCATAATCACCAAAGTACAAACACCACAATCGCTAAATCAGTATCTACCCACGGCGGAGGAGTACCATCGCACAACACCACACACGCACGGAGACAACACATTTCTCGATCCAAGCGCATTTGGTGATCAGCAGGATCTACTGCAACAGCAATTATTAACAGCTGCGCGTAAAGACGATTATAATGGCCCCGAACCGGACGCAGAATCGGTGGACACTGCGGCGACCGCTTATCAGCAGGTAGAGCGTGCGGAACGAAAGGACGGCATGGATTGGTACTACGAGAGCTTCAAGAAACCGCGGCCGGGTACAGTGGCAGGCAGTAGCTTGCGCAGCAGTGTGGAGTTCATGGCGAACGCCGGCGCTGACGGCAATAAATTGAAATATTTTGGTTATGAGAGGAATGCATGTAATTTAATGTTCTTATTAAGTTTTTTAGTAATAATTTTTTGAAAACTATTTATTTTTCATTAAGTTTAACGTTTCTCTTGTATCGGAGAGTGTTTATAGTTATGCAAAGATATTGCAATATTGTAAAGAAGAGTTGTAACTTTATCTGCGAATCGAATACTCATGCAAAAACTGCTTATAATTAATGTTCATATTTTATTATTAGCAATATTTGGTAGAAATTGTTTTAATGTTGCAATTATTCATAAAATTATTTAAACATACAATAGTAATAGTAAATTAAATAATAAAAAAAAAAAAACAATAACAAATTTATTGAATGTAATACGTACGCATTAGTGAGCATCAGTTTTCGCATAAAATATTGTTTTAAGGGGGAGCGGGGTTAATTTGTGCAAAACAATGCCCATTTTTATGATTTTTTTTATGAAACAGTTATAATCGATTTTTAAAAACCAATGGTACAATATGACATTCAAAGAATATTATGTTAAATTTTCATAGAAAAATATTAGAAAATACGACAATGACGAGCAATGCTGCTGGAGCGTTTTGAAAAAAAGTTAAATTGTGGTGCCCATCATAACTTGATGCTGGCTCATCATATATAAAAAAAAAGTCAAAATTGTATCGTTAGATAAACGCTTTGCCTAGATAATGCTGGAGGGTCTTCGAAACTATAATTTTTATTTTTTATTTATATTAAACTGGAAAATATTAAACAATAAAAAAAAGCATTTCCGGCGTTACCTCGAAAATTATGTAAAGAAATAGTATTGAAATTTTCAACAAGATCGGTGCAGTAGTTTCTAAATTATGAGGAGCATCGACTTTGAAAACAAAAAAAATCGATTTAGAAACCCTATTCAGCCTTTAAAGTAAGAAACGCAAGGTCTATAATTATTGATTATACATTTTTCTACTATTTTTGGGTATTTATTTCAAACGACATTTCGCCATTAATACCAAATTAAGGCCCCTACCACGGTTTTCAACCCAACTGCATTTCGGTTAAAGTTTTGGTTTCAACTCAATCCGTCAAAAAAATGTTGGTTGCAGTGTTGTCGGACTTCTACTTTTTATGGTATTACGGATTTCAACTCTGTGCCAGTGGTGTTGGCTAGAGTATCAAAAAATGTTAACTGTCAACTTATTAGAAAATATAAAATGGGTAAAAAGAACAATTTCATTTATAATTTCAAACTATTTGAATCAGTTATTATGTACAAATCCATAGTAAGGTGACAAGTTTCTTAAGCTCGTGTAGTAAAATCCCGAAACTGGACGAGACAAGCTGCAATTTGGAAATATTAAATTAAAATTAAGGGAACATGGGAAGTGTTTCGAACATCAAGAGTCAATACAATCTACTACTCCTAGATATATACTTTTTGCGTAAAATTGAATTTTTAAAGCGCTTTGCTCCTCTTCAGTCACTGGTGCTTTATCCACAGGGCACAAATATGGTGTTCATAATATTTAAAAGCAGGTTTTTCAATAACCATATATATATCGTAGATTGCTTCAGCTCAAAGTTAAAATCATTTAAAATGCATTCTCGATAACTACCGGCGGCAGGAAATAGAGATTTTATGATTAACGTTTCATCATCTCATTTAGTAAAAAACAAAATAATTTCTCATTTTAACAAAAATAACTTATGAATCTGCAGTAAACATTATTTTAAAGCCATTAATTGTCAATAAAACTTTGGCCTATTGGGTGTTAGGTAGTTCAAATGCATTTAAGCGATCACGAAGGCTTTTTTCTTATGCCCAACACATCAGTTTTGGCCGCAACAAAATTGTCAACGTAATATAAAACAAAAGTAAGGTCCATTCCAATAATTATTCACATTTTTGTGAGCAATAACTAACTTAAATTGTTTTGGTTTTTCGTTTAAAAATTTTTAGTTGTTTAATTATCTGTCAAATCTTTATTCTTTAAGTTGGCAACACCAATCAAACTGCAATTGAAAATAGTTGAAAATCGTAATACCTAAAAAGAATTAAGTTGATCTGAAGTTGAATTGCTTCAACTTCAATTCAACTGAGTGCAGTTGAAAACCGCAATCGGTGCATAAATTTCAAATCATCTGGCATACCTAAAAATTGTGTTATTTTAACCAATTGAAGAATTAAAAGTAAATTGTTATGTGTTCTTTCAATTTGTCATTTTCATATTGTATTTCGCATATATTTTTTACTCATTTTTCATTATTTAATTTTGGTGTGTACTTAACACCTTATCAGCTATACAATTCAGTCCATTTTTTTTTTACAAATGCATAGTGCAATTACACATATGTATGTACATTTTTCAGTCTTTTTCAAATCAATTCGAAGCTTTTTATAACTTTACAACAGCTTTTTGCCGTTTTTTGGTTTAAACTCAAGTTACCTAAAATTTAAACATTTAACATTTACGAACAATACCATTCTCTCTACTGCTAGCTTATAAAATACAAACAAAATATCAATACTTTGGATTTTAAGCATAAAATTAGCATTTTGTTGGCGTCTTCCGTGTGTGTGAATTTGTTGGTCACTTCATGGATGAATTTCAGAGCATTTCAAATGGATTATGCAGTAAAGTGTGTGGTTTGCTCAACTAGCGGCATTTCGTCTGGAAAAAAGCAAATAAATATTAATTATAATTAAAATTTAAAAAAAATAAAAATAAATAACTTGTTCAACACTGCTTCATATGAAAAACTG